TAACGTCCATGGTGTCCCAAATTAACGCGCATTCCAATATAACCACTTAATGAGTAACGATAATAAATTAAAGTTGGAACCGCAAATACCTTTTTCCCACATTGTGCATAGATTAAGTTCAATGAATTTTCCATAATCAGGCGTTACAGCGTGGGAACAATGTTAGTTACAAAATAATTATTTCTTTTTGTTTAATTCTCAAATAAAATATATAATTGGATAAAGATAAATAATTATAATTATATTGTACATTTGTACTTATTTTTCATATAATTTTTTATATAATTGTTTATATAATTACGAGGACACTTAAATACACCTTCAAATTAGCCATTCTCTCATAACATTAGTATTAAGAAATGACTATTAAACTCATTGGACTCAAAAGATCAACTGCTACTCTCTCAGTTATCGTATGCCTCAATGAATTAGGTCTTCCTTACCAACTCGAAGTTCCAGCTAATTTTTCTGTTGATATAAAATCAGAGGACTTTCTTGCTAATAAACATCCTTTGTAAATATAAATAAACTGACACATGAGCTCATTATATGACCAACGTTGACAATTTTGTTAAATTTTTTGAAATTTTAACGGGATTATAATGAGCTAACGTGTATTACTTTTCTAGTACCTATTGCTTGTCCTAAATATTAGATTTATTAATTTATATATTATAATATTAATTATAGCGGAAAAGTTCCTGTTCTTATTGATGGAGATTTTACAATTAATGAATCTCGTGCAATTTGTCGCTACCTAACATCTAAATATCAAGGCAAACATACTAATAAAATCTTGATCCCTAACGATGTTCATCAGGCCGGATTAGTCGAGCAGGCTATTTCTTATGAATCTTTTTACTATGATCCGCCCGTCTCAAAAATTGTATATCAAGAAGTAATCTATAAATTTCATGGTAAAGAGTCGAACCCTGAAATTGTTAAGCAAGCTTGTGAAGATCTTTCTAAGGTTTTAGATGTTTATGAGAAACTTTTAGAAGGGAAAGAATATTTAAGTGGTGAATATTCTTTGGCTGATCTCTTTCACTATCCTTTTACTTATTACGCCTACACTTATGCCAAACGTTCGGATTTATGGGATACAAGGCCTAATGTTAAAAAATGGTGGGAGAGATTATGTAATAGGGACGCCTGGAAAAAATCTTTAGTAGATATTAAAAGTTAATTTATTATCTTCGAAAATTAATTTATATATTATTCATTTTTGTATTTAGAATTTTCGCTCCTTTGTTCTATAAATTCATTTGGTAATCTGTAAAAGAAACTAGCCAATAAAAGATTTCATTTGGTTATATTAATTAGTTTTATACATGTAAAATTCTTATCGCACACGTTAGTATAGTAACGCAATGATAGTAACTTATGATACATACGTACGTAGGTGTATGTTACTTGCAATAATATATATCAAAATACTTGCTCTAATTTTTTGCACCATAGATAAATATTTTATATCCAAAAAATATGCTGCGTTCATAAATAATTTTATAACTGCTTGATGCTAAGAGATCTCTTTGATAAAGATCCTCCATTATTGATCATTTAGCGAAACTACGAATGTCTATATTATTTTCAGATATCTCTATGAAAGGATCATATTAAGTGGTTATATTGGAATGCGCGTTAATTTGGGACACCATGGACGTTAATTCGAGACCATATATGCTATTTTTGACGAACCTGGTTTTTAAAATAACACCCACGAGAGTTATTTCACGCTTATGGTAAAAAAAAAAAGTTCAATAAAGTTTCCAGCATAATTCGAGAATGACAAATAGCATAATTAGAGTTACGAGAATATTTATTTTCAGATTCCAAATTAGCAATTGACACTATATATTTATTCTTTTGTTAGTATTCCACTGATACCAAGATATTAAGAATCGTTCCGTTAGATATGTTTAATAGACGCAACTTCTCTTTCACTTCCACTTCATTTTCATTTTATAAGGTCAATTGTTAATAATTGTTTCCGTTGATATGTTTTAATAGATTTACATTTATTAATGTTATTTTGTTGGCTAAAAATATTTAATTAATAAATGAATACATAAAATTGACATGGCCAAAATTATATTAAAAACTCGCTTGTCATAATTGTCTTTAACGTTAAATATAGTATTTTTATCTGGAAACCTAGTTAAAATCTTGCCGCAAACAAAGTCCTTAAGTCCTCTTTTAGGACTTCCTCACTGACGTTAGAATTACTCAAATGAATACTTATAGGCTCATTCATTACGCCTATTTTGTTGTAGTTACCACGGTGAAATACCACTTTTCACCAGTGGTAACTATGCCATACATACAGTATATTCTAAGTCTTCCAGTTTTCTTTTGCATCTTTATAAAAGTCGGGTAGTTTGATGGTCACCGGTTGATAATCATTGGTCTTAGATAAATGATAAAGTTTTAAACAAGCCTTAAATAAAATGTAAAAATAAGTAATAGGAAAAAAAAAAAAAAAGTATATAAAAATTTGTGTACAGTACATACCGAAAAAGTTGCTGACATAACCAAATCACTGAATATTGAACCAAATAATGCGTCTGCACTAAGCTACATATAGGAAAATGGGAAAATATAAAGAAGCACTTGTTGATTTAATTAATTCTTTAGAAATTGGACCAGAAAATGCATAGACGCTACATACCTAAAAATGACAACAAAAAAGCTTAATAAAGTCTATAATACAACCACTTGTCTTAACTTCGTGAGCAACTGCCAAGATAATTTTCTGAGATTCACGTCTGGTATACGAGAAACTAACGTTGTTGATAATGTGGCTAACGCAGATTCAGACGATTCTGCTGTTACTGTTGATGCTGCTAATGTTGCCAACGCAGTTGATGATGTTATCACTATCGTGGTTGCATTTTAAAAATATACAGAATATATATAGGATTCAATGTTAACAAAATTTGAACGGAATTATTAGTAATAATAGCTAGTTGGTATTTCATTTGGGATGTCAGATTCTACAATATTCGTAAGCATTTACGAATCATCGGAATTGTCTTTATAAGATTGTGGGTCTTGTCATTACCGGGAAAAAGCTCTAAATACTCTTCTTTCGTAATCATCCATGGTGATTGACTTGGCTTGCCTGAAACTGGACACCACCTAAATATCATTCATCTTTAGTCGGTCACAACTATAACAAAAAAAACCCAAGGCAATTAATTGCTCACCTGAGATAAAAATTGATCGTTAATTACGATCACTGCCAACAAAAGCGGCTTTATAAACTGATCGATAAAACTTTCCATAAGGCAATTTGCAGTAATCGGTATTCCTATTGTAATAAGCTTAAGGATGTCTTTCTTTTTTTCTCTTTTATATGAATCAACTATTGATAAATAGTTATTATACTACAAAGATTTACAGGATTTTCTAAATTTAACACCATGAAACATGCTTACCGGAGAAGCTGGTGGCTTTGCGAAATTGAAGAAAATTCAAAATTTTTTTTCTTTGTTATTATAAAATAAGGAAACAAGAGAACGAAGGGTGATTATATGTATTACTAAATATAATGATAAATATAATATTCAACAAGATTAATATTTATTTCAAGTTTCTTTTTCAAGAGGTAATATATTGAGAGCAGAGTTGAAAATAGAAGTAGTAAATTCCGGATTTTCTGGCATTTTGAGTTAAATCTGCGCTGACGCCAAGCCACTCTCGTTATAGTGAAATGACCCATTCCCATTAATAAAAATTTCATTACCGGTATATCGAAAGTTTTATTAGTAAATCACTATATCAAGATTTTAATTAGTCTTCACTATATACCAAAAAGATCACGAGAGTAACTTGTACCGTATTTTCGCGAAATAACGCGCAGGGGTGTAATTTCGAAATTTGGCCCGAATTAAGCTTAATTCAGGCCAAAATTCTAAATAACGCCCCTGCGCGTTATTTCGCGACAATACGGGTATATATAAAGCAGATTTTTTTGTCTAGAAACTGGTAAATTAAATCTTATTTTCAGTACTGACTGGAGAAACGTACTTGGAGGTTGTACAATTATATGTATGATTTTTACAGAAAGTGGTTACTGTTCACAGAATTCTTCTGGAATTTCATCCGCTGGGTATAGTTTTAT